CACAAAAAAACGTATTTTCTTTAAACCAGAAATATTATTTTTTAACAAACTAATGAACTACTGAACGTTGAGATGGTGTAACTTCTGCTTTCAGACTGGCTGTGTTGTGCTGTGTGGTCCACTCAAAGGGTTAAAGCCCAAAGTGAACTGAATTGTAAGAAGTTGGTTTCCAAGGGAAACTGTTCGTACCGTTCCAGCTGAGGCGGACCAAACCAAAGTGGCTGACACGGAGGGGGGAGGAATGACACGGCGACGCTGCGAGTTTATTCCACAACACGTCGCTGAGTGGAAATAAATCGAACACATACTACGTTGATATATGGACTGACTTTTCATCTGGCGAGAAAAACTTAGTATTTTTACGGCTTGTTTTCAGCACTAATAAGAAGCACTGTCAGCTGCGTTCACCCCTCCCTCTCAGTCGCAGTGCTGCGGTCCCTGCCAAGTCGGTTTGAAAAGAGCAGACAAAGGCTTTGAGCTCAGGACGCCCCTCTCTCTCCCTCACTCTCTCACTCTGCTCTCACAGCCAACCACACTTCTCTCTTCCTGCCTCGCTTTTTATTTTCCACCATGGGACTGTTGTTGTTAAGACGGCGCCGCTGAAGACTTTTAATGTTTTTTAAACTTTCTAATACTGACATGTACGACCGTTTGGATCCCCGCTCGGCCGAGAGAGAAAGGCGTTCAGCGGGCAGAATACGAGGAAGCGTCGTTTGAGAGAGAGAAGGAGCGAGAGGGGGAAGGATTGACGCTTTTCCTCCTCTCCTCCTCCTCCTTCCTTTCTCCCCCCTCTTCCCTCTTTTTGGCGGAGAGAAGGTTTTAAGCTGAAACAAACTGATTTTTTTTGTTTTGTTTTCGGATCTCTTTATAAATGCATTTGAACATTACTGCGCAACCAAACCGGATCACGTGGGATTGGTGAGAGTTGGATCAATTTCTGCACAGTTCAATGTAAGAGAGAAAGTCAGAGAGTTGTTAAGAACTCTTATTGCTTGTACTTTTGTGGATAAGTGTGAGTCTTGTTACTTTTTGTGACTGACTGAGTGACTTCTTTTTCAGCCTTGGAGGTGTGGAGTATTGATTCTTTATATGCCTGGGCTTTGAAAAACAATGGAGACGCACATTTCGTGCCTCTTCCCAGAAATCTTGGCCATGATATTCAGCTATCTGGACGTGAGGGACAAAGGCAGGGTGGCCCAAGTCTGCATCGCTTGGAGGGATGCATCTTACCACAAGTCAGTGTGGAGGGGGGTGGAGGCAAAGCTGCACCTCCGCCGGGCAAACCCTTCCTTGTTTCCCAGCCTCCAGGCCAGGGGCATCCGGAGGGTCCAGATCCTGTCTCTTCGCCGCAGCCTGAGCTATGTGATCCAGGGAATGCCCAACATCGAGTCCCTAAACTTGTCCGGCTGCTACAACCTCACAGATAATGGACTGGGTCATGCGTTCGTACAGGAGATCCCATCGCTGAAGGTATTGAACCTGAGTCTCTGCAAACAGATCACAGACTCTAGTTTGGGAAGGATAGCCCAGTACCTAAAGAACCTGGAGGTGCTGGAGCTTGGGGGCTGCAGCAACATCACCAACACGGGGCTTCTACTGATTGCCTGGGGCCTGCACAGGCTCAAGAGTCTCAACCTGAGGTCCTGCAGGCACGTCTCGGACGTGGGGATTGGACATTTGGCGGGCATGACCCGCAGTGCAGCAGAGGGCTGCTTGAACCTGGAGTACTTGACTCTCCAGGACTGTCAGAAGCTGACGGACCTGTCACTCAAACATATTTCCAAGGGGCTGACCAAACTCCGGGTACTGAACCTGAGCTTCTGTGGCGGGATCTCAGATGCAGGGATGATCCACCTTTCCCACATGACCTCACTGTGGAGCCTCAACCTGCGCTCTTGTGACAACATCAGCGACACGGGAACCATGCACCTCGCCATGGGCACACTGAGACTATCTGGTCTTGACGTCTCCTTCTGTGACAAGATCGGGGACCAGACTCTGGCGTACATTGCCCAGGGGCTGTACCAGCTGAAGTCGCTGTCCCTGTGCTCGTGTCACATCTCTGATGACGGGATAAACCGGATGGTGAGGCAGATGCACGAGCTAAGGACCCTGAACATCGGACAGTGTGTGAGAATAACAGACAAAGGGTTGGAGCTCATAGCTGACCACCTGACCCAGCTGGCGGGCATTGACCTGTATGGATGTACCAAGATCACCAAGAGGGGACTGGAGCGGATCACGCAGCTCCCCTGCCTTAAAGTGTTGAACCTGGGACTGTGGCAGATGACTGAAAGTGAGAAAGTGAGGTGATTGGAAATTTAGTATTGTGTGTGTGCGTGTGCGTGTGTTTTTCCATTTTATTTCCGTTTGAATGGGGAAAGACGGGGGACATGAGCAGGGAAAGCAGAGCTGTGACTGGATAAGAAAAGTTGTTTTCTAATCAAAGAGAGAGAAAACCTTCCTCTCCCTTTATCAATTGCGACCAGAATTTTCTGTGCAAATGTTTTACGTTGGAGTTCTGTGGACCTGACAGGTACTACGTTAGTTTTTCCTTAATTTGACTTCATTTTAAGGTAAGGGTGGGAAAGTTTTTTTTTTTTTTTTTTGTAGTTTTTTTTGTGTAAATCCACTTCAGCAGTTTCTTTTTCACCGCATGTGTCAAATTCGTAGTCCTTCATTAATGTGAGTCATCTGAGGTCTTAAGTGTCAATTTCCATGTGTAGAAAAATCGTCACCTGCATTTACTGACACAAATCTTAACGTGAGGACTGCTCCATCCAAACACACGATGATTGCTTTCATTTTTAGTCAAAATAAGGGTTTTGACAACTTGATCTAAGGGAAATTTATTTTAACAGCGAGTCGGAATTTGAGACATTTAACGAATAATCTCTCCGCTACAGCCATCACGCCTATTAAAAAACAAAAAAAAGAAACATTTGGCTACCTCTTACGTGGTTGTTTTCAAAGGGTGTATACTGTTAAGAAAAAAATAGAAGGAAGGAGGAGGAAAGCGAGCATGAGAGACTGGGAGAAAATGTGCCTAAAGGGACCGAGTCTGCCCCCTCCCCCATCCCCCTCATCTCCCTCCATCCCTCCCTCCTCCATGAGCAGAGCTGGAGAAAGGAGACCAGGACACCATCTAACTACCTTTGTTAATTTACCCCCGTAAACAGCAACAAATTCCCAGGCAAAGACAGAGAGGGAATAAAAGCAGGCTGTAAAATGTATTCCAGCAACAACAGAACAACGCTTTATGCAAAAAAAAAAAAAAAATCAGTTCACATTTTGTCTTTGTAAAGCTTATTTCAATAATTTTTTATGGATAAAATCCAACTTTAAACCACCCTTTTTTTTTTTTTTTTAGAGATGAATTGAATTTGAGTTTTGACAAAACAAATCAGCTCAGCCTTAGGGGAAATACCTGTAAGGACACTGAGGAGATATTATAACAGCCATGTAATACGCCATATAACTGGTCATTACCAAACACATTATAATAATGCACAGTGTGGTTTTTCCGAAGGATGCTGGTGGTGGAAATAAATGTCAGCGGATGTCGTTCAGAGTCTCGTACTTCAAATTGAAGTGTCTTTTTACGTCTAATGTCCTTTATTGAAAAACTAAAATCAGGGTTTGCTCTGTAACCACCACCCCGTTCACCTCCACCTACACACATATTCATGTTGCTCCAGAGGGAGAGAGAATAAGAGGAGGTGGACATGTTTACCTCCTTTTTTTTCTCCATCTTTTTTCCCCCTCGCTCTCCCTGAAATAAAAATACCCTGAATCCATTCTGAGACATGCTTAGAAGAAGGAGCAATCGATTATTTTTCTTTTCTCTCTGCTCTTAGTCTCGGGTTTCAAGTGGAATGCGTCTCTCTCTCCCTCTCTCTCTCTCACACACACGCGCACACACACACTCATGCACACACGTGCGCGCACCAGAGGCCTGTGAGCGCACGCGCGTTAATCTAATGCAAATGACCTGCTAGAAAAATTAATATACGGATGTGCGTTCCTGCTAAAAAAGCTGTTTTTTTTTTTTTTTTTGAAAAATAAAATTATGTACTGTATATTATGTGTTTGTAAAGAAGAGGAAGACAAATGCAGAATCCCAAAATTAAATTGTTTTATATTCTTACGGTTAAAACAATTAAAGATATTTATGTAATGAACGAAGAAAAAAAACAATGGTGTGTCGACTGCTTTTTGTGGAGACTTCATTTTAACTGTCGTGCATTTGTGTGTCTGGGAGTGTTAGAAAAAAAGTGTTTTTTTGTTGTCTTTAAATGGCATGTCAGGACCCATGAGTGGGCTGTGGGGCTAAATTTGGTGGGTCATGAGACGACATAATAGGGTTAAGACCAGTTTGGTCCAGTTCTGTTGTAAACTCTTGACTTAGCTTGATTTTATTTAATTTTTTTTAACCATTGCTTCTCTTCAAAACTACACAGGAAAATCACTATCTAAGAGATGGGATTCCATATATGGGAATTAATTCAGCTTCATTTCAGACTAGTCTACAGCCTGGGACTGAAACACACTGTGTTTTACAGTGTGTGATATAAGGAAAAATCTTGACTGAATAACTCAAGTAAAGTGCAGCTCCCCAGGCTCGGACATTTAAGAACCATTTGTGTAGAACATATTAGTCTCTCAGTGGTAATTTGTCATTGTTTATTCCCAGAAAAACCGCCACTAGAGCCAGAGCCTTGTCCATATTGTCCATAAAATAAGGCCTTTCATATTTTAATGCATGGCTCTCAATGAACACCCACACATTTCTGCTCATTGTCGTAGATCAGTCCAGTATAGTCGCTCACAAGAAAAGGAGAAGAAGAAGAAAAACAAAGACAACAATCTGTGTTGTGTGGCTTCATTATTTACAAGAATACTGTATAATGGATGCTCTGCAGTCTTGACCCGACTGCAGTCTGTGTAATTAATTATCGCCCAGGTGTTTATTATAGGAAGCTGCTGCTGCTGTTTTATTTAAGTCGTGTGCTTTTTTTTTTTTCCCTCAAAATGACATTTTGAAATTATTAAAGTTCCTCAGCAGTCACACATTCAAAGGTATGGAATCACAGTCTGAATAAGAAGGTTCAAAGTTGGGCCTGGGGGTCAATTGTGGTACTTGGATGGGAGGTTTGTGTGGACCCTTTTGCTAAATTAAGTTTTTAACTTCACTGTAAAAAAAACATACGTTTGGTCTGTGTTAAATGTCCAATGAGAGCTTAGACTAGAAGAAAAAAGTTTTATTTTCTTCTTTTTTTCTAACCATAGGTGATCTGTTAGCAATCGGTTACTACTCATTTAAGATGTTTTTAGCAACTTCCTGATTATTTTGTCGATACATCCCAAAAGCCTAGTTGGTGAAAACCACAGTAGCAAAATGTTTAGTCCTGAAAACAGAGATTTTTACATTTTTTGATGTTGAATGACTTCAAACACATCATTAACAGTTAAAAAAAAAAAACTGTAGAATTCAGTCGATCACTGATTGGCTTGGATTGAATTACCACATAGACAAAAAGCATTTGTTATGCAACGATGCTTAGATGCAGTGCATTACAGTAGCAGCAGCAGGCCCTCGGGTGTCTCCACCTTATCTAATCTCCCATCAGCCCCCGTGAAACAGAAGTTTAACCGAGGAGAAGGTTGAAGGTTTGGGTTAAATTCCCTGGGTTTTTTTTTTTTTTTTAATCATATGTCAAAGCTGTGGCTCCATTTGCCGAGTAATGAGAGCCAAAGTTGGTTAGAGCAGATTTTCCTCTCTCTCTGCTTTCTATCAGAACGTGTTCTGTGTGCGAAGTGACGCCACACACACACACTCACACACACATACACATTCACACATAGGGTTGCCAGGCCGGTCAGTAGCCATTGTCTGTCTTTAGAAGTTAGGAAGGCAGGTTGTGGTGGGGGATTTTTTTTTTCTTGCTTTTCCTCCTCTTTCTCCTCCTCTTGTTCAGTCACGCATACCAGATCTTAGCCTAGGCAGGAGACACCCCCTCCTCCTCTCACTGCTCCCCCCACCATCTCACTCACACACACACACACACACACACACTACTTCTTTTTAGCATTCCTCACCATCATTCAAAGCATTTAGGCATTCTCCCTCTCCTGACTCTCTGTCCATGGGGATTTGGGAATAAAGGGCAGTGGAGGGATTGTTGACCACAGGGACAGAGAGACACACACAGTGAGAAAGAAAGAATGGGAGAATGTCAGGGTTTGCTATTTCTTAAGTTTACTTTAACCGGCCTTTGGTCTTGTGTAACAACACTGCAATGAGAGCTCGCCGAGATGTGAAGAGATTTCTCTGTGGCATTTTCAGATGCTTTACCGCCTAGAAATGTCTACAAAAATCAGTTTATGAGTCATAGGAAAAAAAAAAGGAGAGAGAAAAAAAAACACACCACTGAACCCTTGTTTTACTTCACCACAGCGCGGTTGTTCGTTTTGTCTTGGAGTGGCAACAGACAAACACTGATGTTTGTTTGTTAATACTGAAAGCGGCAGCACAACGACGAGAGAGACAGAGCGGAGCTGGAATTCAAATAAATGACGGAGACGTACGCCATCGTTGATTGTTCCGTTATCAGCTGACATTTGGCTGTGAAGGCAGGGTCACTCTGACATGGTCATATCACAGACAGTCGTACAAGAACGGGTCCGTGAGCTCTAATGTTGACTGACGAAGATACAATCAGCCGCATTCAAATGATAATGTGATACCTTATTAATCCCCACTGGGAAAAGCTCCCTTTCTGTCGCCTCCCTCCGCGACGGGGAGGTCAGCGGTCAGACTCGGCTCCAGAACAACCCTGGCTGGATCAACGCGGGGGTTTCAGTGTCTTGCTCAAGGACACATCAGAAGGGAGGAGGAGTGTCGCGTTTTAACGTGGGTCACCTTGCCTGCCTGTTGGTTTGTGAATCCTTGAAGGGGGGAGGAGGAAGGGGGAGGGAGGGGGAAGGCAGGCCACCTGTGAAGCAGCACTTTTCCCGTTTTCAGAATTCAGAACCTCTCTCTCTGTCTCCCTCTCTCTCTCTCTCTCTCTCTCTCTCTCTCAATGAATCAATTCCCTTGAACAATCTGTGAGGCGAATGCAATCTGGCCCATTAATGTAAAGGCTGCAGACTCAATTTGCATTTTGAATAAAAAAAAGAGCTGAGTGTGAATTAAGATCTGGAGTTTCACTGCTGGCTGTTCAGCATAATATACTGTATGCTGTTGCTGAATGTGAGGATGCAAGTGCAGCACTAACACAGGCTCACTTTTACAACAGATGTACAAATGCACACCTCACTGCAGATATATACTATATATAAATATATTTGGGTTTTTTTCCCTCATGTACTTTGAAGTTTTCAAAAACATTTTTTGGGGGGCAATTTTTCAGGAAAGGGCTCCTGATAGTGGAGAACTGGGTCCCAGCTTTGGTTTTCTGGATCTGAGGTGTTCACAGCAGTGGGAGATTGTCTGGATCTTCCAGGCGAAGGAGGTGGCAGCTGGGTCGAGCACGTGGGAGGCAGGACACCTGCCTACTCGCTCACTCACTCGCTCGCTCGCTCGCTGTGCATAATCCCAAGCTTCTGCTGCTGCTATCTTCTACGCTGGACTCACTCTGACACTGAGCAGAAACCTGACTATAAAGAGCTGGCAGTAATATTTTAGTTTCTGGACAATCTCTAGAACATGTCAGGTGCATGTCTGAAGGAAGAGGGATTTCACAAAACAAATCCACATTTTACAGCTGTCTGTTACAGAGAACCCAACTGAAGCTGTGAGTTAGGGCCGAGCTAAAGTTCGGTTAATTTAAGGCCAAACAAATGCAAACGCAAAGACCAAATAGAACCACAAAGGTTGAACATGATGGCTCTAATGTTTTAATGATGTGTTATGATAATGGTAGCATTTTTATGTCAACAATTCTTCCATTATACGACAGCATATCTGGTCCAAAAAGCAGAGCTACAAACAGTTAGCCACAAGTTAATCAACTCATCAGTGCCACTCTATCTATCACACTTCAAAAACAAACCTACAGAACTCAATTCTTTTTCCACAATAAACAAACGCAGACAAATGCAACCACGTATGCAACATAAATGACCCTGCGACCTAGGGATTGAACGACAAACACAACCATCACAGCATCTGAAAGCGTGCCATGTAGCTAAGCTAGCTAAACAATTATCTTCTTCCAAACACAGAGACATCACACTGATGACATACAAATGATGACTCTGAAAGAGAACCGAGGACAC